CTGGGAGACAAATGAAAAGAAGTGGGAGACAAATGAAAGGAAGTGGGAGACAAGCCAGCCGCGAACCCGACCACAAGCACCGAGCTTGGGAGACAAATGAAAAGAAGTGGGAGACAAATAAAAGGAAGTGGGAGACAAGCCGGCCGGGAACCCGACCAGACCATCCAGCACCAAGGCGACCATTCTTTAAAGCATTGAGAACCCCTAACAGTAAACTGTTTGGGGAAAAAAGGGAAAACAAGGAAAGAAGAGAGAGAGAGAGAGAGAGAAAAAAAATAGTTGTGAGTTGAAACGCCTTGAAATGATTTTTTCAACATGTCAGGTTCTGTTTTGAAAAAAGAAAAACGAAAGCGAATGCTTTGCGTCTCCAGCCTGGGAGCCACGACTGTACGGTAACCTCCGTGCGCGCTCGTGGCGCTCTTGGCGACGTGGGTAGCCGGGCGGAAGTACCTTGGCGACCCTTGTTGTTTCCAAATATATATATATACAGTATATGTTTATAATGTGATTGTTTTAAGAAAAAATGCAAAAATGATCTGTTCAACATGAAGTCTCCGTTCGGCAGAAAGCCCTGCCTGTGAATGAGTCTGTTGCTGTGGCTCCTGGCTTCAGTTTCTGGTGCAACCCGGTCTGGTGCAACGCGGTCAGTCCGAAAGCAAAGCAAAGCAAAACCAAAAAGAAATACACAAGTAAAACAAACAAAGTTTTTTCGAACCTCGTGTTGATCGGAACCTCAGGTCGAAGATTCGCGGCTGAACTATCTGCAGCGCAAGTCAAACCAGCCTGGAGCAGCAAAGCTGCAGAAATCCCGAACCTCACTGCGGCATCTCTAAATGCTCGGGGAGGCCATGAGGGGTGGCTAATAGCTCGAGTAAGTTACTACTTTACTACCTAGAACGCAACATAATTCATGTTTCTTACTAGCCTGTTAAGAAAAACGATTTGTATCAAGGCACCTTGCTGCTGGTAGCAAAAAACTATTAGTAGCAAGGCGCCTTACTAGTAGGAGCAAAAAGCTAGTAGAATGAGTTTGGAGTCTCGGTTCAACGGTTCCACCAACTGGGGACTCTGGCCAGCTTGCCACTTTGTCCAAGCCTGACTGTCAACTCGCTCAAGTGCAAACTCTTTGCGGGAACAAATCTTCATTAAGCGGTGTGATCTTTGTCTTTGCTTCATGTTTGCTTTACTTGCAAGAGGCTGAAAATAGATAGTCACACAATTAGAATTGTGTAGGGAGTGCTCAAGCATGCATGCGCCCATACATACATACATACATACGTACATACATACATACATACATACATACATACTTGAGCTACTCCCGCCACGGCATCCCCCCCTTTCCATCTGCATCCTGTTAACAGCCCTCTTCACCACAACAAGGGGCGCCCCCAAGCAACACCAAGCTTGCTCCACGGACCATCGGCGTGCTTGCTTGTCACGGACTGCATTCTGTTCCCTCTCCTGTCCTCAACGTTATCCTTTTTGACGTTCCCTTCCACTCTTATTGGCCACCAGAAAGTGATGATTGAGAGATGCATGCTGTATTTCCGTCCTATCACGTTGTCCCCCCCTCCTATCCTCCAGAGGTCACGTTCTCCCTGCTCCTCTTACCCACGAGAAGACAGAGCGCTGAGCGACGCACTTCGCGCTTCCTACTTGACCTCCCCACCTCTTTTCCTATCACGTCCTCCCCCGCTATGCCTGTCCTCCACATAAACTCCCACCCTGTATGGGGTGCCCTTTTGCGTCTGGTTAACAGGCCTTTTCACCATTAAAAAGGGCACCAAGCTTGCCGATTCTGCTCCCTCTCCTGTCCTCAACGGGTTGCACCCTTTCTTGCAGCCCGT